GGTGGCGCAGTGGCTGAGAGTCCGCCTGCCGATGCAGGGGACACGGGTTCGTGCCCCGGTCCGGGAAGATCCCACATGCCGCAGAGCTGCTGGGCCCGTGAGCCATGGCCGCTGAGCCTGCGCGTCCGGAACTTGTGCTCCGCAACGGGGGAGGCCGCGGCAGTAAGGGGTCCGCGTACCACAAAAAAAAAAAAAAAAAGAAAAAATATTCTAAAAGAAAAAATGTGAAAACTAACTAGATATTCAAGGACAGTAATGTTTACACAGAATCCTAAATGATCAATGGATGCTAAAACAAGTGCATTAATGTCTGACCAAAAACAAGATGTTTACATAGTTGCCAGGTACCTCCCCCAAAATAACTTACTGGATACAAAGGAACACCACCTTTACCAAGTCATCAAACCTAACATCACCATTATTAAGACAAACCCAATTACGTGGGTTTGTCCTAACGGATTCTGAAGGACACATCATCACCTCTATGGCATCCCTACAAAAAATACATAACCTGAATCTAATTATGAGGAAACACTACACAAACACAAACTGAGCCACATTCAACAAAATAAATGGCCTGTTTTCTTCAAAAACGTTAAGGTCAAAAAACACCAAGGGGGGCTTCCCTGGTAGTGCAGTGGTTGAGAGTCCATCTGCCAATGCAGGGGATGCGGGTTTGTGCCCCAGCCCGGGAAGATCCCACATGCCGCGGAGCGGCTGGGCCCGTGAGCCATGGCCACTGGGCCTGCGCGTCCAGAGCCTGTGCTCCGCAACGGGAGAGGCCACAGCAGTGAGAGGCCGCAGGGGTGAAAAACAAAAACAAAAACAAAACACAAAGGGACTTTCCTGGCAGTCCAGTGGTTAAGACTCCACTCTTCCACTGCAGGGGGCACGGGTCTGATCCCTGGTCGGGGAACTAATCCCGCATGCCGCATGGCGCGGCCAAAAAAAAAAAACAAACACAAAGACTGAGCTGGTTCCATATCAAGGATACATGACAATAAAATACAATGTGTGGGGACTTTCCTTGTGGCGCAGTGGTTAAGAATCCACCTGCCAATACAGGGGACACGGGTTCGAGCCCTGGACCGGGAAGATCCCACATGCCATGAGCAGCTAAGCCCATGTACCACAACTACTGAGCCCGAGCTCTAGAGCTCGCGAGCCACAACTACTGAGCCCGCGTGCTGCAACTACTAAAACCTGCGTGCCTAGAGCCCGTGCTCCGTGACAAAAGAAGCCACCACAACGAGAAGCCCGCGCACTGCACAAAGAGGAGCCTCTGCTGGCCACAAATAGAGAACGCCCATGTGCAGCAATGAAGACCCAACGCAGCCAAAAATAAATAAATTAATTAATTAAAATAAAATACAACATGTGATTCTGGATTTTATCCTAGACTAAGGAAAAAATACATAGCTACGCAGAACACTGCTGAGACACGAAATTTGAATAAGGATTGCGAATGAGACAATAGCTTTGTGTAAATATTAGGGTTCCTGAGATGTTTACTACACTGTGGTTATGTAAGAGAATTTTCGTACATTTAGGAAAAACACTCTAAAGTCTCCAATTTACTCTCCAATGGTTCAGGAAATATATATATGTAATAAAGAATATATATATTATATATATAAAAAATGACAAAATGTTAATTGTTGAATCTGGGTAAAGGGCATACTGGAGTTCCTTGTATATTCTTGGCATTTCCTATAAGTTTGAATGAGGCCATATCTTTCAGAAATACATTGTGAAATATTTACAAATGAAAAAGTAAGATTTCTCTGATGTGCTTCAAAATAATGGGACAAGTAGGGGTCTAGATGAAATAATTGGTCATGTAGTAATAACTGTTAAAGTAGAATAATGGAAACATCAGGTGTATTATACTATTCTCTGTACTTTTCTATGTTTGAAATTTTCTGCAATAAAAAGTTTTAAAGAAGTCCACAATGAGGGACATCCCTGGTGGCACAGTGGTTGAGAATCCGCCTGCCAATGCAGGGGACACGGGTTCTAGCCCTGGTCCGAAATATCCCACGTGCCGCGGAGCAACTAAGCCCATGCGCCACAACTACTGAGCCTGCGCTCTAGAGCCCAAGAGACACAAATACTGAGCCCGTGAGCCACAACTACTGAGGCTATTGAAGCCCACACACATAGAGCCCATGCTTCGCAACAAGAGAAGCCACCTCAATGAGAAGCCCACGCTCCGCAACGAAGAGTAGCCCCCGCTCACTGCAACTAGAGAAAGCCCACACACAGCAACGAAGACTCAATGCAGCCAAAAATAAAAAGATAAAATAAATTTATTAAAAAAAAAAAAGAGGCACCCACATCCAGGACTCTAGTTTTGAAATGTTTCTAATATATGACACTCTCTCCATTAATCCCCCTTAAAACCTCTTTATAAAGCATGAACCATTCAGGCAATTTTATTTGCCCCATGTGAAGTTTTATTCAATACAAAAACAGAAATACAGTTGATACCTCTAACTCTACTGTATATGGACATATAGTTACCGTTGAGAGTAAAATCAATAAATAATGGAAGAAAACAGGTAAATGTAGATAGAAGTAATCCACCCAAAGAGATGATCTACAAATCACAGAAAGAGAAAAACCAACTGACATTTGTTAAGCACCCATTATAAGCCATTCCTTAGGTCATTTAAGCTTCACATCAATGCTGGCATAATTTTTCCCTTAATTTTGTTTTTAATTTTTTTCCTTAAAGTATACAATTTTAGATTTTTTTTAAAAAAAAATTTTTGGCCATGCTTCGTGGCCTGTGGGCTCTTAGTTCCCTGACCAGGGATCGAACCTGTGTCCTTGGTAGTGAACGCACAGAGTCCTAACCACTGGACCACCAGGGAATTCCCACCCTTAATTTTTTTTAACTGTGGTAAAATACATATGATTCAAAATGGGGACTTCCCTGGTGGTCCAGGGGGTAAGACTCCACGCTCCCAATGCAGGGAGCCCGGGTTCGATCCCTGGTTGGGAAACTAGATCCTGCATGCATGCTGCAACTAAGAAGCCCACATGCTGCAACTAAGAAGTCCGCACGTCCTGCACGTCACAAATAAAAAAGATACCGCATGCCGCAACGAAGATCCCACGTGCCACAACTAAGACCCAGCGCAGCCAAAATGAATAAATGAATAAATAATAAATAAATATTTACTTTAAAAAAGAGGTGATTTTTTTCAACCTCATTTTACAAATGAGGAAAATGCAGATGAGTGAGAAGTTAAGACATTTTCCTAAGGCAAGCAGCAAGTCACCAACCAGAATCTGAACCCAGGTCTTTCTTTAAACTGCATGACTGCCATTATATAATTTCACTGGTTCTTAAGTTTCTTAAAATTTCATTTCTCTGGGTCTATACTAAGAGCCTCATTAATTCTAAAAAGCCTGATTTTCTACATTTACAAGCCTAAAATAGACAGCACCAAAAAAGGCAGCCATGCTGAGACCCTCCATGAACAGTCAACAGACGCCCAACCATCTTTACACCTCACTACCTTTGCAACAACAACTTTAGAAGCTATGTTAGAAGCTAAATTAAATCCAAAAGTACATGAATATAAATGAGACATTTTATCTTTAAGTTTATGTTGTAAATGGTGAATAAAATCCAAATAATTGGACTTCCCTGGTGGCGCAGTGGTTGAGAGTCCGCCTGCCGATGCAGGGGACACAGGTTCGTGCCTCGGTCCGGGAAGATCCCACATGCCGCGGAGCGGCTGGGCCCGTGAGCCATGGCCGCTGGGCCTGTGCGTCTGGAGCCTGTGCTCCGCAACGGGAGAGGCCACAACAGTGAGAGGCCCGCGTAACGCAAAAAAAAAAAAAAAAAAAAAAATCCAAAAAATTTTGCATAGATACTTTAGTAACACACTGAATTTCTAGATTTCAGGTATAGCTAAAATAACTGATTAGTATGTCATTTTAAAAAGCAATACTTTGGTCTCATACATGAGGAGCAAATATGATTACCCTGAATCTGTGAATATACAATTTGTAAATACTACAGAATAACCCCTATCATAATTAACACTTTCTCTACAAAAATGGAAAGAACCTGAAAAACTCTAGGAACTACAGCAGAAAATATAGTAGGAATTTAACTTATGAGACAGACATCCAGTGGGGAAATCATTCTCAGGCAGACAAAGAACAAACCTGTGCGCCAACAGCCTCCCTTCCCCCATTACCAAAACATTTCAAAAGCTTCAGGAACCCCAAGACCAGAGTTTGAGACACTACGGTATTAAACTGAAAAATACATTTACATATGGTCCTAGTCTCATTACATATTTTGTAGGACAAAAATGGCTTTCAAAATAAAGTACTTATACTTCTTTCTTAAAATTTAGATCACTTTTTTATTGATTGTTTAAAAAAAAATCGAAGGGGCTAAAATATGTCAAAGCTGTTGACTGCGGAGGGAGAAGCACACAATGAAGATTAAACTACAAAGAAATGCTCAGAGTTGCTATCTGCAGGAATTTTTTTCCATATCTATCACATTGCACTTCTTTCTTTAGCAAACTGTTTTTTCCACACATACCTAATACTATAAATATATAATAAATACTCAGAATTTTAAAAACTGTAAATACAACCCAGTTGTTTTAGAGAGGAGGGAAAAAGAAGTCCTCCAAAATACCAGTGAAGTAAAAATTTCCTCATATTCAAACCTTCAAACCGCCATGGAAAATTGGAGATGGCAAAACACTGCTCCAATTTGTCCACTAAAGCCTATGTGCAAAGACTTCTATTTCAACATTTCGACTAACTAATAAACATATGTTGCATCCTAAAAAATATACACTAAAACCAAGAACCACCCAAAAACCTACTCCCATCTAAACTAAGAGGAAGACAAATGGGAAACCAAAAAGCTACAGGTAACATAAAGTACTTTTCCTCATATCATGGAAAACAAAAGGCTCAAAACACATTTTAATTTTCCCAGAAAAAGACGATTAACTTACTAGCATGCTTGTCTGCAAGCATTATAAGCGTGTTGGAAATATCTCGTCGTCTATAAAAGCACACTACTTTTGCTTCCACGTTGCCAGTTGCAGTCTAAGAAATAAGAAAAATAAAAGTCATCTATACTGAATATTAGATTAAAGTAGTTTATAAAACAAAACTAGAGACAGCATAAATGTAAGATCACTGTCATTTATTGTGCCAACCACAACTGCAGGATAATCAGAGAGCTTAAAAATTCAAATCAGGACGAGTAACGTTTGTAGAAGTGCCAAGTGAAACAAATGTCAAACATAAAATAACTCATTGGCATCAATTAAAAATTAAACTAAAGTGATCAGAGAGCTTTAATGACTAAAACCATACTTAACTCTGATTAACCTTAAGAAACTAATCCCCAAAATTTAAAAAGCCACAACATAACTTAAAAGACAGTTAAACATAGTCCTCCAAACCCTCTTCCTGAGGCACAGGCTAAGTGCAAAATCACCCAGCCCCATCCTAAACACCCTCACGTTCGAATGATGGTGAAGCTCTGCAGGTGCAGGGCAGTCAACATGTGAGGTGGACCAGATAACTTGGAAATGCATTCTCAGCCCAAGGGAGTCCATGAATCCATAACGGTCAACATTCTTAGTAGTACTTACTTTACCTTCACATATGAAATTATTAAAAACCTTGAGTTATGAACACTGAAGCTCTTATTTCTTTTTGACTACAGTCTAGAATACAATCAATATTCAGTTAGGCTGTAATTTACTGCAGCTGGGGCCCAGGCTCCTACCCTCCTATTCTTTATGAATTCTGAGAGATTTCAAGGTCAATTGTTCACTAGAGTTCATTGTAAAAACACACAGATTACAATAAAATGCTATTGTCATTTCCAATTTCAAACAAATTTGAGAACATATTTTCAAAATTTCTCTGGGCTTACAGATACACTCAGAGAAAAAGAAATAAGTATATGTGCTGCAGTAAAGTTGTCAGTTTTATGAAGTTCAGTGGCAGTATTTTAAAGTGAGAAATAGTCTTGTAGAAATATTGCCCCTTAAAACTGAAATCATATTACATCCTAACGAAAGTGCTTCTATATTTCACAATATTGTGATCAAATACATCCTCCAGAAGTAATGATCCAGCAACCTGCTAAATGAACAGTCCAATATTCATATGTAAATAAAATCTATCAATGACTTCAATTATCAGTGCTTTATCATTTTTGTCTTCTTGAGACAAAAGCATGTTAATGGACGACTAATAAGAAAATAAATAAATAAACATTTTAAAAAAATAAATAAAAGCATGTTAAAAACCCAAAGCAAGAGTTTTAAGGCATACGTGTTTTTTTTCTACCTTACTGGTGAGTTCCTCCGATAGGGATACTCTGTAAAGCTAATTAAATTCTTATTTGAACCTGCTTGGGGTGGAGGGGCATAGTTCAAAATAAATATTCTCTTCTGAACCACGCACACATTTGGCTATTAGGCAGCGTACAGTATTACTCTTCTTCTCTACTGTACACACACACACACCCTCCCTTCGAACATTCCTCTAAAGTTGAGCTACTAAAATTGTGGTCCAAGGCCCAGTCTACAGCTGTTACTATGTAATGAAATGAGTACAGAAATTAAATGCATTACAGTATTTGAGAGTTAATTTTATATCTATTGAATCTAATAATGAAAAATGGGGCTTGCATTTTTATAAGCCTACTTTAAATTTCATTTTTCTACTCTCATTTTTAAATTTTACAAAAGCAGTCTAAGATACTGAAAATTCTTAAAAATCCTCCACCACAAATAATTTAAGAAGTATAGCTCTGAAGACCTAAGTTAAATATTTTGTATATATAAAGTCACCAAATTTCTTGTGTGTGCTTCCTATGTGCCCCTGCACAAGCTAAGCACCACGGATGCATGGTGTCTGCCCTCACCGAGCCTCTGCTCCAGCAAAGATGCCTGTCCACGTGTCATCTCGTCTCCAACCTTCCAAAGCCCAGCTGTAATCATGTCCCTCACCCAGAAACCTTCACCGGTTCCCCACAACTGAAGCATAAGAGTAAAACATTCCTGACAAATTCCCAGCACTATTGTCTTTACTCCTTTCATTTCCCCTCCAGACTTCACTTCTCACTCATGGAGGCAGGAAGTAACACTTGTTGAGGGAAGAACAGAAAAAGCTTCAAGGAGGAGGAAAGGGGGCAGAAGGTCCCTAGCTAGCTAGGAAAGAAGGAAAGGAGTCCAACAGGTGAAGCCTGGAGGACTGAGTAGTCTTAAGAAAAAAAAAAGGACCTGAACAAAACCCACAGGTGGGAAAAGTGGAGACAGATATAAAGAAGAACCTACAATGAACAGCAATTTCTTTCCTGCGTTCTTTTCTCCATTTAGGTTGCAGCCTCTTAAATCTCTATTCTGTCAGACACGTTTAGTTAAACATCCTTCAGCAATAAGGGGCTTTTAGTCAACCTCATACTCACGCCCATTTCTAACCCAGACTTAGAAAGTACATTATTAAAAACCAAAAAACCAAACGCTTTCCATTTTGGAAAGTCTATGGTCTGCTCGAACTAAAGAACAGATGGAAAAGAACTTCCTTTTCCCAATTTCTGTCCTTCTTCCCAACAGATCCTAAACGTCAGGAGGGGTCTTAACTTGGGTTCTATAAAAGGGCTTTGAAGGGATCTCCTGAAATTATATGCAAAATCTTGTATGTGAAAATATAGATTGGGGTGGGGGACAAGATTAGATGCTCAAAGAAGTTAGTGGCTCCCTTCTCCCCACCAAAAAAAGACCCAAAACATTAAAATGAATTTCAGAGCAAACTGGATGGCTAATAAAACATACAGAATATGAAGAAACATATAAATTATACAACATAACACACCAAAAAAATAAATCAATAGCAAATAACATTAAATTTATCCATAAGCATAACTTCCAAAACTTCCTGAGACTGTATCCTCATTATTATGTGCACAAAGCCTTCTTCCAACATGTGTGCAGACTAAATCTTTAGAAGAGCAACACCCAAGCTAGACAGTGACTAAATAAAATTTACCGTGAAGTTGTTTTCTATTTTAACTTTATATTCTTCCTCCAAAAGATCATCATCACTGTATCTGAGTACAGTTTAGAGGAGAGGAAAAGAGGGTATGTAAGATAAACAATGTCGGTGAGAAGCGGCTGCAGCTCTGGGCAGAGGGGGCAGGAACCCGAAGGCGAGCAGGGGCCGGGTGGGCACCACGGCCGGGGTCACCACCATGGAGGCGGTGAAGCGCTGAGACCCAGGTTCCGCAGCTGCAGGCCAGTGACGCGGAGGAGAGGGCCGAGTGCCTCCCGCGGAAGTGGAGGGAGAAAGGCGGCCCGGGAACAGGCTCAAGCTGACATGGCCTCCTTGAACCGCAGGATGCAGCTGGTTGAAAAGGAGCTGGACAGTGCCCAAGAGCACCTGGCCACTGCGCTGCAAAAGTTAAAGGAAGCTGAGAAAGCTGCTGATGACAGCGAGAGAGGTCTGAAGGTTACTGAAAACCAATCCTTAAAAGAGGAAGAAAAAATGGAGCTCCAGGAAATCTAACTCAAAGAAGCTAAGCACACTGCAGAAGAGGCAGGTAGGAAGTACGAAGAGGTGGCCCTTAGGTTGGTGATTATTGAGGGAGACTTGGAAGGCAGAGGAGCGAGCTGAGCTGGCAGAGTCCCGTTGCCGAGAGACGGATGAGCAGGTCAGACTGATGGACCAGAAGCTGAAGTGTCTGAATGCTGCTGAAGAAAAGTACTCTCAAAAAGAAGACAGGTATGAGGAAGAAAGATTCTTACTGATAAACTCAAGGAGGCAGAGACCCGTGCTGAGTTTGCTAAGAGATGGGCAGCCACGCTGGAAAAGACAACTGATGATTTGGAAGATGAACTGAAATGCACCAAAGAGGAGCACCTCTGTACATAAAGGATGCTGGACCAGACCCTGCTTGACCTGGATGAGATGCAGAGCGCCCCAGTCCCGCCCTGCGCTGACCCCGACTCCGCTGAGGCCAGAAGCTGACCTTTAAACTGACGGCTGATCTTTAACTGGAAGGCTGCTTTCTCCTTTCGCCACGTCTCCCACCCCCACCCCTGTGTCCTTTTTGCCAAACTGTCTCTGCCTCTCTCCAGAGATTCCATTTGGGCTAGAGGCTGAGCATCTTTGGGAACAACGTTTAAGGGAATGTGAGCACAATGTTAAGTGTCTTTAAAAGCATGCTGTGATGTACACATTTTGTAATTACCTTTTTTGTTGCTGTTGATGTAGCAGCCATTTGTAAAACATTCCAGATAATTCCATAGTTCTGAAGCAGCAGTCTAATCCCTTTCTCACTTTTGGAAGGTAACTTTTCAGCTTAATGCATACTGCCCTCTCCGTAGAGGAGGGGAAAAGGTATGGGCCTGCCTTCCTGAGAGCCAAACAGCCCAGAGAAGGACTCCATTTTGGGAAGCCTTATTGCTCTGTAAAAAGTACCTGCCAAACCAGAAAGGTGATTCCAGAAGGAGTTAGCCAAAAAAAAAAAAAAAAAAAAAAAAGCGCTGTTCAGGTTTTCAGCTTTACGGTATCTTTGGGCAACTTTTTTTTTCCATCAGAAGTGACCAGATGAGATTAAGATGGTGAGACCTCTGAGACCAAATCCTTGTCCCAGCTCTACCCCATTCCCAATCACTCACAGAATGGATCATGTGCCCCTTATTTTGAGGTGACCACTTATTTGCTCTCCCGCCTCCTTGAAAGAAAGGAAAGAAAATTATGTTCTACCACTGATTTCGCCATATGAAACTCATCTCATCACCCTTTTCTGGGTCTGAAGCTGCTGTCTCTAAAACTGCCATCTCATTGTGTGTTGTAGCAGTTAGTCCTGGAGAAATCTTGAATAGCTTATACACAAAATTGTTTTTAAATTTTACATTACTTTGAAACTTCGCTTCTTTGGGGCTGGGGCACACTGGTCACCCCACCTGGCTGTGACAGCCCTCTACAGTCTGGGCTGGCAGTGTGCTGATCTTTCAAAGTTTCTTTCCCTACCCAATCTCCCCTTTTTGGTGAGGGCTCAGTGAGGTCAGTTAGGTGTGCATCCTACAGCTTAATTGGCTTAAAATGTACTCCCCTTTGGTGTGGTCTCCTTGGGGGCCAATTGGGGAAAGAAAAAACAATAGTGTAACTGTTTTGATACTGAACATTGATAAATGTCTTTTTGAAATAAAGAACCAGTCCCTCAAAAAAAAAAAAAAAGAGATAAAACAATGTCGAACTGTGTTTATCAACCAATATATTCAGTTTTGCACCTAAAAGTTCTGGGGAAGAAAAATTGAGATAAAAGTCTATTTCAGGACTTCCCTAGTGGTCCAATGGTTAAAAATCTGCCTTCCAATGCAGGGGATGTGGGTTCGATCCCCGGTCAGGGAACTAAGATCCCACACGCCACAGGGCAACTAACCCTGCACACTCTAGAGCCTGCGTGCCGCACTACTAAGCCTGTGCGGCACAACTAGAGAGCCCGCTCACTGAAACTACTGAACCCATGCGCACCAGAGCCCACTCGCTGCACTAAAAGATCCCACATGCTGTGGAGCAGCTAAGCCCATGCGCCACAACTACTGAGCCTGCGCTCTAGAACCGGCGAGCCGCAACTACTGAGCCCACGTGCCCCAACTACTGAAGCCTGCGTGCCTAGAGCCCATGCTCCACAACAGGAGAGGCCACCGCAATGAGAAGCCCACGCACCACAGTGAAGGGTAGCCCCTCGTTCACCACTAGAGTAAGCCTGCGTGCAGCAGCAAAGACCCAATGCAGCCAAAAATAAATTAATTAATTTAAAAAAATAATAATATATCAAGTGTTCTTAAATTCATTATTTGGATTTTCTAATCATGTTAAATTTCCCCACTTAGCCAACTTGACCTCTGACCCGCTCAAGGCCTTTCTGGAACTCCTGTGCCCCTCTTCCTGAGGCTACCTCCTTCTCATCCTTTAGGCCTCAACTTCAATGTCCTTAAAGTCCTTCACTCCCTATCCAAAGGAAGCAACCTCTGTTATTCTCTATGTCAAGGGTCAAGGCTCTTGCTTATTTCCTTTCTAGAAGTTAACACCATTTATCGCTATTTTCTTTACACCTGTTAACTCATCTTTTCATGTGTCTCCCTCATGAGAACGGAGACCCTGTGTGGGCAGAGACCATGTCCATATTGGTCACTGTTGTACCTGAGCCTAGCATAGTGCCTGCTACATAACAAGTGCTCGAGAAATATTTGTTTAATTAATTACTTAAAATGAGATCTCTCACATCCCTTTAGAAATAAAGGTCCTATGTAAATATTTAGTAATTAATTAGCCTATTGCAGTTCCTTTTTACCAATACTCCATCCAAACTGCCACTCTCTGAAATTACAGAGACTCTGATCTCTCACAGTTCAGTCACCCTCAGTCCCCTAAGGACTGCTCCTATATTAACCACTCTTTGAGAAAGCAGAGGCGCAGGGAGAAGGTGAGAATGTGGGGGAGGGGAGGGACTTTTGAAGTGAAGAGTAATATCATGATAAAGAAGTGTGAAATGATCCAGGTTCCAGGTAGATGTGTAACCCAGGCATTTAAGTTACTTAACCACAGTGTGCTTCACAACAATCCTTGATCCATCTACCTTAAAGGTTTAAGGTACTGTGAGGCTCAAAAGAGGTGACAAACGTGAATCCCCAGATTATATGCTTCCAGAGCACCATGCTCTGACGTTTGTAAATTTAGCACAGATGCAATTTTCCTTCTGCCTGTGGAATTACTTAGCTGATGTCCATCTCCACTACTAGACCTATCTTGTTCATCTTTCAGTTCCTAAAAGTGCGTCTCTAAAAGCAGTAGGTCCCCAGAAATATTTGTAAAATGAATGAATCAAAGTACTTTGTAAACAGTAAAGCCATGTACAAGTATTAACATCAGACATCTGAGAAATTCATTAATTCAAAAACTGTTTACTTAACTATGTGCCAGCCACTACTCTAAGGCACTTTGGATGCATTAGTGAACAGAAAAGATCACTACACACATAGAGCTTACATTCTAGTTTGGGAAAACAGGCAATGTAAATATAGGCACAACTCATTTTATTGCGCTTCGGTTCACTGCACTTCTCAGATACTGTGTTTTTTTTTTTTTACAAATCAATGGTTTATGGCAACACTCGGTGGAGCAAGTCTACGCCATTTTCCCAATAGCATTTGCTTACTTCGTGTCTGTCACATTTTGGTAAATCTTGCGGTATTTCAAACTTTTTCATTATTATGATATTTGTTATGGCAACCTATGATCAGTGATCTTTAATATTATTTTATGAAGGCTCACTGAAGGCTCAGATGATAGCTAGCAATTTTTAGCAATGAAGTATTTTTCAATTAGGCATGTACATCTTTTTTTAGACATAATGTACACTTAATAGACTACAGTATGGTATAAACACAACTTTTATATGCACTGGGAAACAAAAAAATTCATGTGACTCGTTTTACTGCAATATCTGCTTCATTGCAGTGGTCTGAACTGAACCCACAATATCTGAGGTATGCCTGTAAACACATTAATTAAGTATATTTGAAGGTGATAAATGATGTGGGGGAAAACAGCAAGGTATGGGGGGCTGGGAACAACCAGACAGTCCTAAGGTGGGTGCATATGAGAAACAGCCAAGAGGGTCCAGTGGTTAGAACTTGGTGCTTCACTGCCATGGCCCTGGGTTCAATCCCTGGTCAGGGAACTAAGATCCTGCAAGACAGGTGGCGCAGCCAAAAAAAAAGAGAGAGAGAGAGAGCAATAGGCAAGAAAGAGCTTACTGCACTTAGAGCCGAATGAACAAAGCAGGGAGCAGCCAGAGAATACAGGTCTCATAGGGCAATTTCTCCTCGAGTCCTAGTTAAGTTTCCAAGTAAGCTGATGCAGTGAACAGTGTGGAATTGCCTAAATTCTTTTTCTAAGCCTTTTATTTATTTATTTATTTATTTGGCCATGCCGAGCGTGGCTTGCAGGATATTACTTCCCCAACTAGGGATGGAACCTGGGCCCCAGCAGTGAAAGCACCGAGTCCTAACCACTGGACCACCAGGGAATTCCCTGGAATTGCCTAAATTCTTATACCTTACATCAATAATATAAAAGAGGAGAACACCAGGAAGACACCTCAACAGTTCCCACTCACAGACTGACCTAATCCTGAGGCCATTTTCTTCATTTGGGGGTGGTCTCAAATACTACGGAAATTTTTAAAATGCAAGGTCCCCAGGGTATCCCCAAAAGTGAACCAAGACCTCAACGCTCATAAGCCAGGCATGCCCTTGGCCAATCTGGTTTCCTGGGACTCAAAACGGGACCAGAGTCTCCAGATGGTATTTTGGGGGAACGGTATTAGCTAGACAGCCCCCAAAATTTTAACAATGTGAATTCTCACCAGCTACACAAGTAACCCTCAACCATCAAAAATCTATGGTCCATGTCATTTACGATTGTTTGAGTGCCTCCACTGTGAAAGCTCAGCTACTGCCAACACTCATAATGCTTCTGATGTCCTGGACACCTGCGACTAGGGACAAACCTTGATGTAAAAGTTTTATTTACTTGGGCCTAAGGTACAAAAAGTCACTTTATAATTATACCAAAACTGTCTTCTTATTAGTTAGCCTAGTCTAGAATTTTACAAATTCCCTTAAATATCATATTCCCTAACTTCCTCCTTCTCAAGCTGAAAGAGGAAAAAATTAATTTAAAATTAATTTTTAAAAATTTTAAAAATTAAATTAAATTAATTAAAAGATAACTAAAAAGGGAGAAACACAAATTATGACTTCAGATATAAACAGGGACTGAGTTACAGGAGTGACCTGCTCTGAGAAGCTCAAAGCAATTTGAAGAAATCTTACAGATGTTACATATTCAGTATCAACATTTAATATCAGAGGTAATTATAAAAAGCAAAAGAATATGCAGAATCCTGCATAATTCTCTAATCTGAAATCTCTACTTTCAAAGAGTCTGGAACTTAAAGTAAAATCACCTCTATGCCCTTTACCCAATTACCCTTCAATGGGCAACAAATATTTCTTAATATTAGAATCAAGAACACTCAGTGTATACCTTGTTGAGTTCTTCTATCCTTCTGATGAGGTACGGATTGCTAGAGGAATTCTCAAAGTAGACATAATCTGTAATTAAAGGAAGTAAAGAGCTTAATCTTTTCAACATAAAGTTCACATTTGTCAATTTATGACTTTTTATATTAGGTAATTCACATTCAAAATGAAGCACGCCCGTGATTCATTTCCTGGTAAAAGCAAACTGAGTAATGCAGCCTCAATATATTATCTTTCTTATGTGCTTACCATTCACAGACCCTTATTTTCCTGGCATTTTCATTTCAATTAATGTTTTATTCAAGTTCTCCTAGACTTCTGTCCCACATGTGTCATTTCTTTAATAATAAACAAAAAGACACCTCTTATCATTGAGTAGTCAGAGCTGACTAAACATGTGTCTTTCATACGATAACTGCTTCCACATCTTTTCACTCCAATCCAATTTGCCCTGGAGTAGGCTTCTCACATAAAACTATTGACCTAAGACAAATTCAGAGCATCTTGAAAGGCTTAGCAGCCCAAAGTACATTTCAATCACCAACTTAAAAAAAAATCAGGTGAGCAGAGCAGAAGCACATTGACAAACTTTTTCACAGCTCTTTCTAGGAAGATGAGGGGGTGAAAAAGGAGAGGGGTCACTTTTTGAGAGGCAGAGCTCTGTGGAGGTGATAACCAGCCTTTCTAATACCATATTTACCATATTTAATCCAGATCCATTTTGGGTCTCGTTATAAAGCAATTGCTGCAGCCTTTCAACAAAAAGGATATAAATTTTCAAGTGTGGTTTTTCCTCTCATCTAATAGGCTCACTGGAAACTTCCCACTGTGTGTTTATTTGAGAGGCTGGGCTGCAGTGTTATTGTCTATCTTAGTGGCTCTTTCCCGTCTCCCTTCTGCAAAGTGGCCTCATTTAGCCAGGCCATTCCCACCACCATCCATCAAGGAGCTCGGCTAATGAGCAGAGAAGAGCCAGTCTTACACACAAACACGTCACTTATCTGAATTATTATTTTACCAGGAAAAGAGGGAGGAGGGCGTCTTGAGTAGGGAGAAAGTTTGTTTGACCTTATTTCTCTCTTCTGCAGAAGGCTGGGAAGGAGGCAGACAGCAGAGCAAACGTCCAGGCAGAGCTCCACTCCCCACCCCAGGCTGCGGTGCCCCGGCCCCTCTAAGCCCCATTCCTGGGGGGGGGCTGGACAAGAAACGTAAGGGAGAGGGACGAAGGAGAGGTGCAGGGCCCTGTCCCCGCAAACAGGCCTATCCAGCTGTGCCCCTGGCTGGGCCCCCATCGCCCCCACCCACACCCCCAATGAAGGGGAGCAGTAGAGGAGAGATGTCCCTCCACTCTCTCCAAACCCCCAACGCCTAGAAGCCACGCGAGGAGAGACCACCCTCGTAGGCGGCTCGACGGCCCCTGACCCCCATGGGGGTTTCACGGGTTAAGGTGGGGTGGCATCTGATAATTCATACCCCCAAGTACAGGCCTGGTCTAAAACCCTGGTTGGGATGTGGGGGTGTGGATGGGCCCCGGCCCCCTGGGGGCCACGGTGGGGGAGGGGGGGCAGCCCCGGCCCCCTCCGCAGGCCCCCAGCCCCATGAGCCCTCAGCCCGGGCGCCCGTGGCTCCCAGCGGTTAGGGTGAACTCGCCCCTACCCCCCACTCCCGGAGCCCGCTCCCAGACGGGCCGGGTCGGGCCGAGCCTTCCTACCTCCGACCCGGTACATGTTGGCCGCCATGTCCGCCCGCCCGCCCGCGGAGCCCGAGCCGAGCCCC